AGGAGTTACTTGTTTTTTTGTTTGTTCATTTTTTTGACGAGTCTCACTCTGTCACCAGACTGGAGTGCAGTGTGCGATCTTGGCCGTCACTGCAACCTCCGGTTCCCTGGTTCAAGTGGATTCTTCTGGCCTCACCCTCATGAGTAGCTGGGATTATAGGCACGTGCCCACCACATCCAGCTAATTTTTGTATTTTTAGTAGAGCGGGGTTTTACACATGTTGGCCAGGATGGTCTTGATCTCCTGACCTCATGATCTGCCTGCTTCAGCGTCCCAAAGTGCTGGGATTACAGGCCATGAACCACTGTGCCCGCCCACCTTCTTGCTTTCATACCACCCTCAGTTCACAGTTGACTGACCTGAGGGTTGCCATTTTCCTCCCTTCAGTGCTTTGAGCATGATGACTCCATCAGTGAGCTCCAGGAGCATTGTTACCCAGGTCCTCACACCTGTCAAGCTGCAGGGGTCATGCTTAAGTTAGTGCATGCCTTCCTACTGCTTCTGCTCCCAGCCCACTGTGGGTAAGAGTCGTAAGAATGGCCAGGCTGCAGGGGCGGGTTTATCCCCATCTCTCCGTCCTCCAGAAATGAATTCCTGTTGCTATCTGTCAGGTGGGTGACCAAATCCTGTAATCCAGCTCTGGAGATCTGCTTTCTGGGACCAGAGCTGGTACAAATGGTCTTCAGTGAGTTTCCTCTGGAGGTTTTGTTTTGTTCTGTTTCCAAACAGAGTCTCACTCTGTTACCCAGGCTGTAGTGCAGTGGTGCCATCTCAGCTCACTGCAGCCTCCACCTTCCTGGCTCAAGTGATTCTCCTGCCTCAGCCTCCCGAGTAGCTAGGATTACAGGCACATGCCACCGTGCCCAGCTAATTTTTGTAATTTTAGTAGAGATGCAGTTTCACCATGTTGGCCAGGCTGGTCTCGAACTCCTGGCCTCAAGTGATCTGCCTGCCTTGGCCTCCCAAAGTGCTGGGATTACAGGCGTGAGCCACTGCGTCCAGCCTACTCTCAAGGGTTTTAAGGTTAATTCATATTACTATGGCAGTGGGGATGAACACACATAGAATTTCCAATGTGTGGCAATTGGGAATGGCAAGAGTCCCATGCTGAAACCAGGGCCCCGAGAGGGAAGGGGTAGAACCTTACAGCCTTGGATGGAGATGTTAAGGTACATGAAGCTGAGAACCTCCAATGCCAGACTTCCCTGAACCCTGCTGAGACTTTTTTCGGATTGCTCTGTGATAGATTCTTGTATGCTCATACCAAATTTCATTTTTCTTTATTTTATTGAGGGATATTTAAGTTGTTTCCGCTTTTTTACTATCATGAAAAAAATGCTTCAGGAATAATCTTACATGTATCTCCTTTTGTATCTATATAAATTTTGTCTGTCATGTTTATTGGAACTGAATTGCTGGGTCAATGGATACATAGAGAGACAATTTTCTTAAATACTGCCAGAGTAAACCACATCACTCTTGAATGGGAACAAATCTCATGTGTTATTACTTTTATACTATAAGACACTAGCATTTCAAACATATATGTATTTTTTGGTAGATTGCACAGCCATGAAAGAAACGATTTAATCCAGACCCCTCCTGTTCTCAATTCTTCCTAAAGTCTCTTAGTGATTTTCTCAGGGAAACACCGTAAATTTGTACTTACGGAGAATGTTGGAATGCTCGTCTTGGTGTGGTATTGTGTATGTGGGTGTGGAACATGTATGGGTTATGAGACAAAACTAAGCAAGATGTGTGTAAGCTGCAAATTGTCATTAAGAAAATGAAACATTATTTCTAAGGAGGAAAATAAAACTCAGGAAAAAGGAGCCATTCAGTTCTCAGAGAGCCAGGAGAATTGGAAATGAAAGCCGGGAACCAAAGGAACAAAAGAGAAATTGCCACGTCGCCGGCTCTGACTTGCAGAAGCAGAATGTTCCGTGGAGAGTACGGTAATGGGAATGAAGGATGAGAAGCCGGCAAATACAATTTCACTTTATTTTAATGTGCTCTACACCTACAAGTGAATGTTCTGTTTGTAAGGCAAAGACTTGCATGACCTCTGGGAAGCCATCTAAGCCTCTCTGTCCCTCAATTCCTCCACTTGCCACATTTAGAAAATTGCCTTGGCTCCTAGACGCGGGGTAGGCGCAGGTCCCTCTATTTTTCTAAATGTGGTTCGCAGACTCCAATGCTTCTTGAGCCGACGGCTGTGTTCTTGGTGCAGTGAACACAGACTCTACCATTGTAATCACATTAGCAATGAGTTAGGTCTGACTTTACTGCCACGCATAATTATGACTGGGCCTAGAAGTCAGGCACAGTGGTCACGGGCAGTTCACAACAATGACTTAAAGCAGAGTGCTCTCACCGTCAAAGCTACGTGCCAGTTTGTCACTTTTCAATCTTTTGGTTTTCTGCAAGCTTTCGCTTGAACGGTCACCCAACCGTACCCCAAATAATTTGTTACTCTTTTATTAAAAAGGTAAATGTCTAGTACCTGTCTCTTACCGACTATGGTATCCGCTCTTTAATCCTCACGCCCTTGTGATCTGAGGCTGAGCTGTGGAACTGAACTCGTCTTCTGTGAGGACGACTGTCCTACTGTGTCAGGGCGACGGTGAGGGTTTGTGGAGGCCTCCAGCCAGGAGCTCGCAGCCTGACTCGAGGGCAATCCCGCAGTTAGAACGTGCAGTCTGGGGATGGCCACTGGGGAGAATGGGGGGTACAGGAGCAAACTGAACAGGGCTGAGGTTGGGCACAGAGGAGCTGGCCCAGATGTCACAGATGTGACAGTCGTGTTTTAAATTACACCTGCAGGAATCCATTAGCATCAAGGAATGGTGTCTGGTCTTCACTGGTTGGAAGAAACACACATTCCATAGCTGTAGCCTGAATTCTTCTTCCCCTGGGAAAATTGGAACGTTTCCAGGCAAGAAAGGGAAAGGATCGACTACGCTGGCTCGTAACACAAACAAAAACCTTTCTGTTCAAGACCGAGCGCTGCTGCTGTCCTGACTTCGGGAGGAAGAGAGGCAGTGCCCACCTGGGTGTGGAGCTCACCTACGGAATATTGTCAGAGCACAGCTGTGGAAAGGAATGCGGGGCTGACAGGTCACAGCTAGGCAGGTTGCATGTTTCTAGGGGATATGTAAAGGAATCTGAGAATTTTGCATAGGTTACCAAGACCCTGCCATAGTTTCTAAAAATCATTTTGTTGTAACATAAAACAAAGGTGCAGAAAAACACACAAAATGAATGTGTGGTCTAATGAGCTATTGTAGGGAAAGGGGCCTCATGTTGAGAAATGGAACTTGGCCACGTGTCTGAGAAGCCCACCCAGTTGCTGGGTCCCCTTTATCCTACTCCAGTTCCTTCCTTCTCCCATTAGTGGCCATTAGGCTGACTTAAAATAATCACTTTGTGTGTTTTAAAAATAATGATGTCATCTAAACGTGAACCTTGAGACACTATTGCTTGGACTTGGCTCCCCCCGTCTTTTTTTTTTAAAGTTTTGAGATAGTTTCAAGTGTCTTACAATCCACAGCTTCCCCTCCCTCCCTTTGTTTTCTTTATGAGTTATTTGCTGAAGCACTGGGGCTGTTTGACCCAGAGTCTCTTGGCGTCTGGATTTTGGCGATTTCATGCTCAGGACGCAGCCTGACCACTTTGCTGCCCGCTGTGTATTTTACAGAGTGGCAGATGCGTCTGGAAACTGGGCTGGACTCAGGTTCCACGATGTTGGCAAGGCTGCAGGCATCCCTGTGTCTTCCATCAGAGGTTGCAAAGCACCTAACTGCCTGTCCTTTCATGATGTTAGCAGCAGCCAACGCGCAATTCCTAGTCCTGCATCAACTAATTCATTGCGGGGGCAGGAACTTTAAAATATTATGATACTCTAATTTGATCACTTCCTTTTTCTTTATTAATCAGAATAATTTAATAAGGAGGTGGTTTCTACTATTTGATGAGCCACCGGGTACCCTTGGTATTGTAAATACTTGATCTGTTCCCTGTATGAACTAGTTCTCAGCATAGTAAATTAGTTCTCTATCATCCTCTAAAGATGGCCAATTGGTTTTTATTTAATGTGGTTATCAACTCATAGAGTTAGACACATTGATGGATTTCAATATTTTGAATTATTTTCTCTTCTGATGCTGAATTTGTCTCATCTCTGTTCAGTGGGAGCCTCTTCATGTTGGCTTTCGAGTCATTCTGGTTTAATCCTTGTCGTCTTGGTAAGTTCCTCACCATCATGAATGACAAAGTATGTAGGCTCAGGTGGTCCATACCCTGTGCTTGACCTGATGTTGGCCATTTCTCCAGAGCCCTCAGTTCTCACTGCAGGGGTGTTGTTTTATTTGACCTGTTCTTTATTACACTGTATCTCCTCTCACTGACAGCAAGATGTGGGAATGCTGAATTAGACTTTGAAATGTTGACCCGATCCCACACTGCATGCACAAGTCTCAGAATGACAATACTAAGACAAGCAGCAACAGAATGACTGAGCACAGGGCAGCACTTTGCTTCTTTCTTGGTGACATTGATCACCTCACAATGGTCTTGTCTACTGTTCATCTTCCTTGTTGTATGTAAATTCATTGAGGGCCTATGATGTAAATTCATTGAGTGCCTATGATGTCATAGTGCCTTGCTCATAGCTGAAACTTACCTCTTTTATATTGAGGTTGGCTGAAAAGAACAGAAAACTCAATAAGTCAGGGTTGAAGTTGACCTGGCCTCCTTCTCTCTACTTTCCCCACTATATTGGGCTCCATGCCCATGGTCACCTCATGGCCCCAAAATGATTGCCCGGATCCAGCTACCACATCTGCATTCCTGCTAACAAGGAGAAGAGGCCAACAAGAAGAGGAAAAGTTTGAAAATGGGGCAAGGGGTGTGTACAAGGTTCCCTTTAAGGAAGGCTCTGGGAAGCTGCCACTTTAGCTTATATCCCTCTGGCCTGAACCTAATTTAATTCCACACTAGCCTGCAAGAGATGCGGCAAATGTAGTGTTTATTTTGGGCAACCAGGTGTCCAGCTAAAAACCATGGGTGTTTTTGGTAAGGAAGAAGGGAAACCGTCATATTTGAAAATGACTGGTGGCCACTGCCACAGAACATACAATATGTATTGAATAACCTAGTAAACATCAGTAGGAACGTAAGGTTGGATGGTAGTTCAGCGAGGGGGGGCTGGAGGGTCCAGCTCAGGTCCAAGTCTCTCTCTCACTCCTGTGGTGATGATTGCAGCTGGAGGTAGAGGAGGGCTCCCAGAGAGAGGATCCTGATAAAAGAATGAAGTGAAGGATAAACTTAAGGTAATGCTTCATGACTAACGTGAAAGAGGCCAAAATAATCAATGATGAAAAGGAGGAGAAAGCTTAAGGCATGGAGCTTCGAGAGCATAGCTGATGATATGACATCCTTTCTGCAATGAGCGCCACCCGCTCTGCTGTGAAAACACCTGACCTGTCTTTCTTCTGCTCTGACCTCTGCGTCTCCTCTGCAGTCCAGCCTCTATCTCTATACCCGCAGCCCTCGTCAGGTCTTCAGTTGTCGCCTGGGGTCGCTACTGATCTGATCACCACTGAGGGCCTCACTGGGCTTTGCTCCTACCTGCTTCTGTCTCAGGGTCTGGTTCTGAAGTTTCTGCTGCACCAGAATCACCTGGGGCTTGCTCAAACACGGACCATGGGAGCTCTACCCTAGGGCATCCCTGTCAGTGGGTGTGGGACAAGCCCAAAATATGCATCTTTGCAATTTGCATCCCTGGTCCTTGGATGACTCATTGGGAATCACTGCTGTCCTAAAGTGGTGGTGGTGGGGGGGGGTTGTTTATTTTTAAAAACATATTGTTACTTTGTTTGCAATTCTACACTCCCATCTTGGGCTGTAGCTCTGGTATGTGTCTTAGTCTGTTGGTGCTGCTAAAACAAAATGCCATGGACTGAGCGGCTGATAAGGAACAGACACTGATTGCTCATAGTTCTGAAGGCTGGTGTTCAAGATCGAGATGCCAGCAGATTTGGTGTCTGGTGAGGACCCGCTTCCTGGTTCACAGATGGCACCTTCTCGCTGCATCCTCACATGGTAGAAGAGGTGAAGGGCATCTCTCTGGGGCTTCTCTTACATGAACACTAATCCGTTTCATGAGGGCACCACCCTTATGACTTGATTAATCACCTTCCACAGGCCCCATCTCCTAATATCATCACCTTGGGGGATAGGACACATTTTGGGGAGACACAGACATGGAGACCACAGCAGTACGCAAGCTCCCAACTCAACAGGATATTTAAGAATGAGGAGTTTGAGGCCGGCCTGGCCAACATGGTGAAACTCCGTCTCTACCAAAAATACCAAAAATTAGCCAGGTGTGGTAGTGCTCACCTGTAATCTCAGTACTTGGGAGGCTGAGGCAGAAGAATTACTTGAATCAGGGAGGCGGAGGTTGCAGTGAGCTGAGATCACACCACGGCACTCCAGCCTGGGAGACGAAGTGAGACTCCTTCTCGGGGGGGAAAAAAAAAAAAGCAGGCACCAGAAACCTCAATGAATTGTTCCTATCAGATATTTTCCCCTTCAACCTGACATTGGATCACCTCTGTTGCATGAGGGGCCACATACATCAGACAGACAATGAAAGTCGGGTGCAGTTGAAAGAATGTGTGGAGACTGTGTACCCTGAAGACAAAGTACACATGTAATACTTAGCTCTCTGAATGGTGCAAATGTTTCTAAGTCATCAGATCATTGTCAAGCATGCTCTGTCTGCAGTGGTCTGGCTTCCAAATAGCCATGGATGCTTAAGCACAAAGTTGCTTCTAATCTGAAAATATTGCTCACATGTTCACCATACTTATCACTAGATCTGATAAACTAAAATAAAACAGCAGCCATTCCACTGCACCGTGGAAACATCCTCGGCTGTCCTGTCTCTTCTTTGTGTGCATGCTTTTCCTATTGTGGGGTTGTGCATTCAGGTGGTCAAACAGCCCTGCAATGACAGCCTGGGCTTGAATTCAGGCACTGCCTCCTGCTGCACCAGCTCCGTGGTACAGGGCATGACTCAGCCTGCTGGTAACGTGGGAACCAAGGAGCATCCCCCTCACACAGAGCTATTGCAAGCATTACCTGAAGTAACAGCTGTAAGGGCTCAGACAGCACCTGACCTATGGCAAATGCCAGCTCACGCACAGTGAGCTACATGCTGATTCAACGTGCATGAAACACACGTGGTAAGTGAGGTTCATGGTTATAAACTGATTGATATAATCTATGTCACTTTTTAAAAGCCTTACAACAACGCAAACCCTGGCCTTGAATCATTGATGGCCGATACTTTTAAAAAGAGAATAATCACACACTAACCATTTTAAGTTGCTTGAGAAGCAGAAGCCACAGAGCAGGTAGAACGATGTGCTGTATTGGGTTTCTTTTTGTGTGGAGAGTCGTTTCAGAAACTATAACAGGCTGTATTTCACCCTGAGTGTCTCTTCGTGCAAACTTGCGTGAGCTTCAGAGGCCACCAGGGGGAGGCATGACGCTGTGGAACTGTGACAGGTGAGTTCTTGTGATCAACCTGGGTCCTTAGCAGGGTGATTGCTGGCCAGTCTCAGCCGCTGACCTCAAGCTGTGCTCAGCATGAAGGGCTAAGAAAGAAAATTCAAAGGACTGATAGAGAAAATAGGCAGGTTTCTGAGAGGCTTACAGTGTATCTCGAGGCTGACATAAAACGGAAAGGTGAATTTTGTTGGACAAACTGAATCGATTGTATTGTCTGTTAGTGAGCCTTGAACACAACCTTTCGTCTCCCAAGGAAGCGCGGGACAAAAACCAAAGGGTTGTAATTTGAATGCAAAGCTTTTTAAGCCAATGGCTATTGGTTTATTGCTGCTTGTGTTTAACAGGGCTGCAGAAACAGACCGGTAGCTACAGGAGCTTTCTGCCTGGCAAACAGATACTTCCTGTTGCATGGGAATTACCCATGGGGATGCATAGTCCTCTTCCCTGCATGAGAATACGTAGTTCTTCTCCTTGCATGGAAATTTAAGCATGCAAGCCTTTCCAATCACTCTGGCCAAGCTAGTCTGAGGCACACGATTTCTGTTCTATGAACTGCACGATTCACCTTCCCTTCTCTTCTACCTTGTACTGACTGACTGACCCATGTTCTCTGAACACGTTTGGCTACTTTACAGCTCTTCATGCTGTTTCCATGGTAGAGAGGTATGAAGTTTAGAGTCACTGGATTATTTGACAGCCACGTATGATTGTACAATGTGCCAGGAGGTATTCAGAGCGTGTAACAAACATGGACTCACTCAACCTCATGAGAAACGTTAGAGGAAAGTACAAATACTGAATTCTATTTTGCAGAAGAGGAAACGGAGGCAGAGGATAGGGATTGAGTCTGGTGTCTGGTGTGACACAGCATGCAGGTGACAGAATTTAGATAAGAGATGGTAGGTGTTTAAATCCTGACTTTGTCATTCCTGGCTGTGCAAACTTTGCAAATTACTCATCCAGTCTGACACGTAGTTTAATTTTTCATGAATAACTCCCCTTTCTATGTTGTTTGGGGATGGAACAAGGTGACTTTTGTGGGCTCAGCAGGATCTGTTTGAGGATCCCTGCCCCAGAACGCAAGTCCTGAAGCTCGCTGAGTTCACCTGAACTCACTGTGCTGTGCTCAGGCACCTGCTGCCCCGCTGGGCTCTCAGCTCCTCGCCCACCATATCAGGGTGTTGATCTGTGTGTCCCTGAGACTTGCACAGTGCCTGGCAAATACACACTGTAGCCAGAGGCTGTCTGTCCTCCAAAGAGCCACCTTCTCTGTCTCTACCTTGTCTTCTGCCACTGCTGGTTCTGCACTCTGGCCACTAGCAACATGGGATTTACTGATGTATTTTAAATGCATCCAGCTCTTTCTACCTCTATCACCTGGCAGAGATGTTCCCCTTGGCATAATCACCGACCCCTCACGACTCCCTCTTTGACGACCATTGCCAAGACCGTCCCCCCAAGCCTTTTCTTCTGGTGGCTCAGATGGAGCTGGAGTCTCCTTTCTCTGAACTGGCTTTGACACTTTCATTGCCTTATAGCCCTAGACATGTTCTCTTTGGTGCCTTAACTGTTTATACTCTTGTACTCAGCTTTTTAGGAAATTGTAAACTCTTGGCAGGCAGGGCTTCCCTTTCATTCATCTTTGCTGATGGTTAATAAATAGTTTTTCCTTTTCTAGGAAAAAAAAATAGAAACTTTTTTTTTCTCGAGAAGGGGAAATGTGCTGGAGGTTTTTGCATAACACACATCATTGGGCAGTGAAAGGGGCTTCGTGCTAACTGTCGGAGACAGGAGGTTTAGAATGGACTCATTTATTAGTGGGGTTACTCTGGGGCTTTTCCTCATAGAGTTCCTCTGCATGTTCATCTATAAAACAGTAACAGCAAGACCTGCTCCATTCATCTCAGAGTTTGAGAGGAACTGAACTAACATATAACGAAGGAATTCGGGTGGCATGTGCATACTACGTTGCAGGCGGTGTGCAAACCACGCTAGGAAGCTTATTGTGGCCTATCAGAAACAGGCGATTCTCCACATTTTAAATACGAAGAAACAAGTTTAGAAAACTTCAGCCACCTGTCTGAGGTGACCCAGCTGGTCCTTGGGGGAGCTGGAAACAGGGCTGAGGTCTGTGTGTCTTCAAAGTGAGTGGACGCCGATCACTGCCAAGTGACGCTTTTTCGATGCACCAGTGTGCATCGAATATTTGAGATTCCCATAAAAGTGAGTGAGAAGTGAGTGATTTTTTTCTCCTAGATATGAGTATAGCTAAGTTTTGTATTCATAACTTACACAAATTTGTGTTCTGACATTACTTGCCCTGTGAACAAATAGTGCTTATCCTTGTAGATATTTGGCAACATAGATGTTGTCATAAAAAGTATTTGACGACACTTGAGGATTTGCAGGTGCCCAGTGAAGCAGCCCGCCCCTCCGTGAGCGGAATTAGTTACTATGCCCCAGAACGTGGGCAAGGGAGGGAGGGCACTTCTCCCTCTGCCTGTTGGTTGTCGTGTTGGACTCATTTGGGATGGTTTAATGGAGGCACACAGATCTTCAAAATGTGATGGTTTTACTGTGACTTTTCCCCTGAGGAATCAGGAAGTGTCTCTGCCACTGCAACAGACACCACGAGGTGATGATGCTGTTGCATTGGTTATTACATAGTGTGCAGTGAGAGCATCCAAGGCCGGAGAATGTCCAGGTCATACATCAGACACTTCAGTGTATCCTGCAGAGGTAAAACACCTTTCAAAGCCCATTGATCTTCTAGGTTATTTTTTATTTAATGAAATGAGTTGAAGATAAATGACGAATTTCCAGTGCGAAGCAGGAATGAGAGAGAGTCAAAGACAAGAGCATGGTAGATGTTTGGAACTTGATACAAGGAAGAAAGACCAAGTCTTACCAAGCACAAAACTGCAAAACCCCAACAGCAAGAAGAGATGAAAAGTTCATTCACTTCTCCTGAATGTTTAAACTACTTGGAGGTTGTAAATAATTTCACGTATTTGTTAACTTGCTGTAATACTTATAATCAGCATGTGTACTAGGATTTGCGAATTGAGACTATTAAGAAAAGGGGTTTTGGGGGCACCAAAGGGGACAACTCTCACCTTAATTTTGATGACAAAGAAACACTGTGGTTGTTTCTTTCAATAGGTTCAAGCAGGCTGGGCGCGGTGGCTCACACCTGTAATCCCAGCCCTTTGGGAGGCCAAGGCAGGCGGATCATGAGGTCAGGAGTTTGAGACTAGCCTGACCAACATGGTGAAACCCTGTCTCTACTAAAAACAGAAAAGTTAGCTGGGCGTGGTGGCGTGTGCCTGTAATCCCAGCTACTCAAGGGGCTGAGGCAGGAGAATCACTTGAACCCGGGAGATGGAGGCTGCAGTAAGCCAAGATCGTGCTGCTGCACTCCAGCCTGGGTGACAGAGAGAGACACCTCCCACCTGCCCCCCAAAAAAAACATAGATTCAAACAAGAGAAGCACAGAGCTGCATATGTGGCCTGCAGGAGGAAGGGACACGTTCAGTTCATTTGGGTAGTAAGTGGTTATATGTCTGTCAAAGACTGCTGTTACTCTCTGAAGGTGATTATTTATAAAAATTGAGCTGAATATAAAATAGACTAAGTGTCAGGACATGCTGGACTCTTGGACTAGGGGTGTGCATGAGCACTCTGCCCATCTGACTCACAAATTGACCAGTGGGAGCAGTGGGTGAGATCCCTCCCACTGCGTCCTGCTGAGCTGTGTGTGCTGGCTGAGGGCTGTGACTGCACAGGGAGAGGGATGTTATTTTCCTAGTTCTCATACGAGTTCCCTATGTGCATCCGTCAGGAAGGAAGCCTCACCTGAAGTAACTCAATGGCTTTGTGACATCTTTGGGCCTCAGACCCAGGTGTTTCATAGAGCCAAACAGACTGATATTTCACTATTATCTTTTTTACCTCTATTATAGACCATGGGTTCGATGCTGACCCTGACCATGGATAGAAATGTTGTAGTGTCAAGGTAACTCCCAGAAAACTACTTCCAACTGTACAGAGATTTGGTTTCCCAGAGCAGGGAAATCCTGCAGTGCCAGGGTGAAGGAATTTTATCTGTGAGACAGGAAGAAGGTGAACAAAGGAGGAAAGCCCAGAGAGAATTGCTGGGCAGTGACTCGGTGGTGAGCTATGCTCAGTGAACAAAAGATGAAGAATGGACTTGTTTGGTTGGTTCATAGCCAGTGAAGGATGAACCAGAAATCAACTTCACAGTCCTGCACCCTGACCTCAGATGAGTAGAAGATAGTTTCCTCTTGCAAAAGGAGAATAAAAATAATTAATGCCCCTGTGGTTATTATGGGGATTAAATGAGTTCATATTTGTAGAGAGTATACACCAGTGATTGAGACACAAAGCACAATATAGAAGTTTGTTTAATACCTGACAATAAATGGTTTGTATGTAGAGCATCCTAAATAAACTGCTAGAAACCTATTATAACCAGTAAGGTGAGTTTAGCAAGTTTGCCGGATCAACAGACAAAAAGTAATTGTGTTTCTAAAAATACAATGAACAATCCTAAAATGAAATTAAAGAAACAATTCCACTAAAAATAGCGTCACAATGAACAAAATATCTGTAAGTATGTTCACTGAAAGAAGTGCAAAATGTATACTCTGAAAACTATGAAACATTGTTGAAATAAATTAAAGAAGATATAAATAAATAAATAGATGCATGTTTTATTTTTATGGTTTAGAAGACTTCACATTACTAAGATGTCCATATTCCCTAGACTGATCTACAGATTCAACACAATGCACATCAGAATTCAGCTGATTCTGAAATTTATGTGGAATTGTAAGGGACCCAGAATAGTCAAAACAATTCTGAAAAAGAAGAACAAAGGAAAAGGACTTAGACTTCCCAATTAAAAAACTTACTACAAAGCAACAAAGTAATCAATTAATAAATTACAAAGTGATCAAG